ATATTAGAAAATTTTGATTTCATGCTGTTGTGTTTATTCTGTGTTCTACCGGTTGTTCAAGCTGTGGTTTGGTCATTCTTTTTGATCTAATTGTCTTTGTCTTATGTTCCAGCACTGGGTGTTCTGGGAGCTGGGTTGAGTTTCTTATCAGGAGCATGTTAGGTGGTGCTGATGATTTTCTTTTCTCTGTCAACTTGGTTACTGTCTGGATTTGCAAGTTTGTTAGTTGGGTTTTCTCTCTTAATTCGGTTAAGCTGGCGTTTGGTTGGTGGAATTTTAACCTGTGGCTGAAAGTGTCTCATTGTTTTTTTCGGTTAAGCTGGAACTCTTTGTATATGCATAATAGTGGGGTTCTGTTTGTGAATGTTTTGAGGGGTATTTATAAGATTGTTTGGTTTTGTGGCTTGAGGTTTAGGGGTCTTTTGAAGTGTTGTTATTACAAAAGGTGGTTGAACTATAATTTCATATCTGTTTCTTCAATTTGGTTTACTGACCTTTTTTTCTGGAGAATTTCTTGCAGGAAAATTATTTATTTTGGGAAGCGGATCAAGTGTAAGGTGATTCTCTTGGGTTTGCTAGTTTTTTTATTTTTTCACTGTTTTCAATTTTGCAGGAAGAGGAGGTTCCGAGGCTGAACGACAAATCTAAGCTCTTTCTTTTTTGGGGCCGGTTTCCGCATTGCCCGTATAATTTAGGGTTTCTTGTAATAGTATAAAAAGGAACATCCTGCTTATAGGAATTATTTTCTTTTTGAATGTAGCTCAACTGAGTATTAGAGAGTTGGGAGTTCCTTTTAAGGACTGTGTAACTGCTTTTTTGAAATTAACGCGTAGGCCCCTTCTGTGAGTTTAACCTTAAAAAAAAAAATAGTTGCACCCTAGTGCTCTAGATTGGTGTCGAGGCACTGATAGCATTGTAGCATAAAGTATCGGGATACTGCGGAGCTAAAAGCTAATTAATTTCTCATTTTGCATCTTTTTTCCTCATATTTCTTGCACAACATCAATAATAAAAATATTTTCGCATGAATAAATGCAAGAAATTCTATCATAATTTTCACTTAATAGTCTTCCTTTCGTCGTTTAACTCTATCAAGTTCTTTCAAGCTCTACTTAAATTCCTACAACACTCACTTTGTGTAAAAAAAGCTGAATTAAAATTGTAATGTAGGCTTAATATACATAAATCTTTATTAGAGTTAGATTTAACATCTATACAAATCTATCATTTATTAAATAATCATGAATCCAATGTCTGAATTGTGTTTTGATGTATGTTTTTTATTAAAGTGATGGAGAAGTATTTTTCTACTTATTCATGCATGTGGGTTGTTCACGTGTGGAATTTAATGACATAGTCTTTTAAATTTTCCTTACTAACCCCCGCATGAAAAGTTTTGTGCCATTATTATTTCTAAAGAGAATGAAATTAGACCAAAAAGAATATTTTCTAGAATATATAGGAATACTCATGATTGCATATAATCACATTATTAGCTCTAAATATTTTCATGTTCCTAGTTCTAAGTTGTCTTTGTCTTCCTACTAATTTTTATAGGATTATATCCGTATATGAATTTCTAGATCACATTTAATATTGAGATTCAAAGTCAAAGGAATTGGATGTATAATCGACTATTACTTGGACGAAAGATATTAACAGATGAATTTATTAATAGAGTCAATTTTTTCATCCTAGTGACCTACCAACTACCTTCTTTTTTATCTGATGGGAGGTTTCATTGTTCTTGCACAAAGTATAAAAATCAAGCATACCTTATACCATACAATGTTACCGTTAATTTATGCGTATGAGGATTCATACTATAATATTGGTTTTAAACTTCATTTGGCAAGTACGAGTCATATTTTGGCTCTCATGCAGTCTATCAAAAAATTCTAAGATAGTTGATGAAGAAAATATTAGGACATATGAAGATTTAATTTATAGTACAAGTGGCCCGCTATTTAGAAAATATACAAAATAATCACCAAATAGGGAAACACAAGACCTCGATGAATTATTATGTGCTGCTCAACAACTAATTTGGGATAGGTGCACTACTCACTTCGAGTTATCAGTCACTATTAGGAAGCTGAGTATTAAGACTAAATACACTGTTCCTCGAGATTTTTTTAACCAATTTGTTGGTTTGCTTAAGGAGACCAACTAATTTAAGCAGATTTATACAGGACTAAAAAGTTAGTTTCTAGATTGGGTTTAACAGCTACACAAATATATTTTGTTTTAATGAATGCAAGTTATACTACAAGGATTTTTTTTTAGAGATAATATGCCATCATTGTGGTGTCCTATGATTTAAACAAAAAAAAAACATAAAAAATAGAAGGATGTTCGAGTTAGTCAATTATTTTACTTACTCATTATTCCAAGACTGCAGCATCTATATGCATCAATGAGCTTTATTGCACAAATGAGATGACATATGAATGTATTTCTCAAGCATATATTTTAAGTCATCCTTTAAAAGCTGAGGCCTAGAAGTACGTAGATCGAACAAATCTTACTTTTGCCACAAATCCAAGAAATATAAGATTGGGGTTTTGTGTAGATGATTTTACCCCTTTCAGTCATACAATCTTACCTTAGTCATGTTGACCAGGGATAGTCATTCCTTATAATCTTTCACTAAACATGTGTATACCTACACCCTACATGTTTCTTACACTTATTATACTTGGCCAATATAATCCAAAAGTAAAGATAGATGTGTTTTTGCAACCCTTAATCGATGACCTTAAATTTTTGTGGGAAAAATGTATCACAACATATGATTTTTACACCCAACAAAATTTTGTAAGGATAGCGTTATTTTAGACAATCAAAGACATTCCAATGTACGATATGCTATCAGGTTGGAGAAATGTAGGGAAGTTAATTAGCTTACTCATATGGCATGAAATTTAGTAAATCATTCGTATTGAAAGATGGATGTAAGAACACTTAGTTCAACTGTCACTGAATGTTCATACATTTTAAACATAGAGTCAAGAACACTAATAATAATCAACTTCCATTATAATTAAATCCAAAATATTATGTGTTATAATGTTTATATGCAAAGAGAATTTTGTCGGCTACCTTAGCATAATACAAAAATAAGAAAGAATTTTGAGAAGGGTTATTCGACTTGCATATGAGATATGTTTACATATATTAGGAAGTCAAGTGAGAGGCCACTTTAGATTGGTGAGGGTTTGTATTCTATGTTAACCACGTCCTGGGCAAGCCCAAATTATAGTAGGAAGAGTGATCAGAATAGGCAGAACATAGCTTCAAATGTTGGGGTTATGAGCTCCATACTGGCTGCTCCATTCTATACACTAAGCATGAATGACCTTTGGTATAAACTTATCAAATCATATTACAAAAAAAGTGTTTAGTATAGAACCTACAATCGTTGAGTTGCATACTCGCACCCACAAGTGCCAATAGGACCTACTAAGGGTGGATCAACGAGTGAACAAGGCCTGTGTGAGAATTTAAACATGCAATAATAATAGGAAGGTTTAGGTGTCATGGATACAATGTTATATATATCTTATATATTTTAGGAGGACTATACACGGATTCAAGAGAGTCAAGCTATAGCTGGTGAGGGATCGATCCTCTGTGTGATCGATGGATTATTCAGACTACAGTAAATGGTGACAGCCGGTTAGTGAAATGCATAAGGGCAGACTTTACGGATCATTTAAGAGATGGTCATATGGCACATTAGGTTTTTCAAGAAGTAGTAAGCATGCAAGAGTTGGCCAAAAAATGGCTTCCTTGATACCATAACTAGAGCAAGTGAAAAAATTGCAAGCTGATATGAAAATGCAACAGAGCTAGATGCAGGATAAGCTGCACAGATTTAGGGAGCCATTTTCTTAAAAGCAACCTGCCTGTACCAAGGAGAGTGAGAGGACGGAAGAGGATTAGAGTTTAGATTCTTATAGTTTTTTTGGGTAATCATTAAGAATTGATATATTTTGACGATCGTTTGTACACTAAAATTCTTAATTATTATTTAATGTATTTAGAATAATGTTCTTTTAGAATTTACGTTTATTTATTTTACTGATTTAGTTTAATTATGTGATTGATACAGTATTAATAGATTATTGTAGGAGAAATAACATGAAGGAGTGATTTTTTTTATATGAGATACAGATTTCTGGGAGATTTACCTTTCAAAATATATATGAAATTTTAAGAGGCTAAATTTTTCTCTAGAAAAATTGGCAGATTATCCTGTCAAAAATATCGGAGGAACATTCCACAGTTAAATACGAAGGTAGTAGCCTCTAAAATTCAACTCAAATTCGCCAGTGCAAATCACTTGCATCATTTGGATTATCCATTAGAAATTCATTAGAGTAAGGGAATAATGAATCAAATACAAAGAGAAATAATAAATCATGATTTGCATAACACAAACGAACTTAAGAGATTTGTGCAAAATTCAAATTTGGGAAAAAACCACGGAGGAGAATGTAGAACGACTTCACTATAGAGAAGAGGCGGAGTACAAAACGGCTTACTAACCCTAAGCACTTTACAACATATTTATTGGGTAAAAATAAGGCATCGAAAAACAAGCGTAATTCTAAAAATACCCTTACATGGAGCACCGTCCTCTTGAACCTCCGACATATCTACAAAGTGTACGATGCTCAAGGACATAAACAAACAAGGATCAAACTAAATTCGAGGTAACTCAACCCGTCAGTAATATCTCTACTGAAAATATTCAGCACAACATATATTTACGATGAAATATCATGTTGTTCGGGCACTATATTTCTATAGAGGACTAAACACCATAATCATTCCTTTTATGTTTTGAAGTTGAAAACTTGGAAGAGAATTGTCAAGAATATTTTCTAGAATTTCTCCTATTTTTGAGCTTATGTAATGCTTTGTTAATATAAATATGAAGCATATAATAAGCATGCACCCAAAGCTCATTCAGAATATTCAAAACAAATATTTTATCATACTGATCTAAAACTCACCTCATCATTTGTCCAAAGGAGAACGTATTCACGGAGTTTTGACTTCAGCTCATTTATTTCATTAAGTAATTCTTCTTCGCTAACAGTACTGGTGACCGCATCTGCTCTCGCCAAAGCCTGATGACACCATCATTAACAAAGAATTAATGCGGATTTACATGACTAATAATAAAATTTTTATATTTATTTTTATATAATATCTGAGCATTTAAATCATATTAAATATGTATAAATTATTAATATTAATATATTGACATAATTAATATTTTTTAAAAATTGAATAAAAATATTTTAAACAATTTTTTAATAATGAATTTTAAAAGTTTTTTTATTAATTGTATAATAAGTGTATTATAAATTTGTTATATGTTATAATCAAAGCTTTAAATTTTATTTTGAATAATTTTTATGAGAAAATTCTTTGGTTTTATTTAGAATAATTTAAGCTTTATTATTTTTATCTTTTATTTTTTCAAAAATATTTTTTTATAAATAAAATTTTGAAATAGCTGAAAACACTATCATTTAAATATACATCAAAAGCTATTTTAAACAAAGCAATAGATATTAATTAAAAAAACAGAACAAGATCATACAAATGGAAGCAGCCGTTGCACGCCGCATGGCAAATATATCAAAGATCGCCACGTGGCGGGCGGTAAAAGAAATCAAGGGTCCCACCTTTTTCGCAATCTTCACGCCCTTCTCAGGCGTCTGCAGGATCTCTGTATAGAACTCCGCCATATGCAGTGCCAGCCTCAAACGTGCCGGACTCGCCCACGACAGCCTCGTCTTCGCCACCCCCTGCAAAGATTCGACCAAAACCCTAACCCTAACACTAATCATCAACAAAAAACGGAAAAAGCCCCAAATTAAACCAGTCATCAAAACCCTCACCTTGGCTTCCTTATAAGCTTGGATCACCGCATTGCCCATTGTCTGCACATCTTCATCGTCCTGGAGCTCCACAAGGTAGCAGCTCACATCGACGTTAAGGGTAAGATAAAAAACAGTAGCCTCGGCAGATCGGGAGGAGAGGACAAGCCAGCGGTAGATAAACTGCTTCATCTCTTTGCAGGCGTCAATCATCTGCTCCTTAATATCGTTCGAGTAGAATTTCGCAACTTCGGATTGGACGCCGTCCGAATCCAAGGACCGGAAATTGTGGTCGTTCAAGGCTTGGCGGAGTTCTTCGAAGAATTTCATCAGGACGGTGTAGAGGAAATTGCGCTCAGAAAGGGAGAGCTCGGTCCATGGGACAACGGATTTGACGATCTCCATCATGAACTGGACCGAGTCACCGAAGCGGCCGACTTCAATGGCGATTTTTGCTTTATGGAGGTTCTTTTCTCTGAACCATGGATTTGAGGTACTCGCCATGGACGACGGTGGTTTGTTAGGAAGACGGGAATCTGCGTTCTTGCTACAAGATTAACCGATTTAGCCGACCTGTCTACCGGCCCTCTCTTTTTGTTAGGAAGACGGGAACATGACAATTTGCACGCGCATCAAATACAAATTTATATTTGTAAAATTAAAAAAATCTTAAGATTCGTGCAAGATGTTAGATATAAGGTTAATTTCAATATAAAGTTAAGTATATATAAGCTCATCTTCATTAAAATATTAACATAAAACTTCCCTTCAAGCTTAAAAAACTCAAAATTTATACAACTTCAACTAACTACACAGCCTAATATCTACCCTAGCTACACGAACTTCTACACACACTTTATAGCTTGCTAAGACAACCGACTCTAGATCTAGGCTAGGCCAGTGTTTACTTTTCTACTATGTGTCAAATTATTTGAGATTTTACTGCATGTTATGGATGAAACTGCCTGGTGTGTTTGCTTATTTTTACTGCACTCTGTGGATGATTATTTTATTTGGCATCAAGATTACCCTTAGGATAGGAACGATCTGGATGCTCACTGAATTTTTTATAGGTGGCTACGCTCATGTAGGGCCATAAAAAAGGGGGGTTAAATAAAAATCAATTATAAATATGCTTGCTACAGATGCTTCAGCTGCTAAGCCCCCAAATAATAAAAAGAGCATGGCTTGTGTGTTTTCTTTTTTTTTTGCATATTTATACAACTGCTTGGGATGTATTTTGATTTATTAAATTCTTAGGATAACCTTCTAGGAGAGTCTAAAATTTTACTTTATATCAAATGTAATTTGTTTAAGAGTATCGAGTTATAAAAGTGTACATTTGAGTTGGGATACAAATATCCAAAGGTTGGATTCCAAAGAGAAAAGGATACCCCTTCAGGGGATAGTCCTTTTCTATTTGGAGGCCAAAATTTGGATCATCTTTTCATACCCAAAGCAGAAAGGGTGGCCTTCCCCTTAAAGGAAGCGCTCTCTTTTCCATTTAGGTAGCTAACTATGAAAAATCCAAGGAGCCTGAAGAAAGGAAGATTGAAGAATTGAAGATGAAGAGTATCCCACTCAAAGTCACTTGCATCTTTATTAGGATTAGAATCTAGGTTATTGTCAGTGGTGCCCGACCACTTTACTTTTTGCAGACCCTGGATTGTAATAAGCAATGCAGTTTGCCTATGGACATTTATTAATTAATTTAATTATATATGATATGTTAATGTAATTGCGTATAAGATTACTTGCTTTTCTTAGCTTTCAGCATTTATGTGCTGCTTTTACTTTAGCTATGATACGTTAAGCTCATGAGGATGTGAAAGTTTTCTACTCATAATCAAAAGTTTAAAATTTTAGGAGTTAAGCAACATTTAAAGATAACAAACTTAGGGAATTAGTTGGGGATTTCCCCTGGGGTCGCATGTATATTATTGCACTTCTTCTTTCTTTATTTTAGACACTTTCCCGTCTGCAGGTAGAGTTCGGATAATCTGACCTATACGGATGAGGTGTCGGACCTAGGAAAGCCTACTCTTCTAAAAAACTATTTTAAAGCCTTTTTAAATTTCAAGCATATATGATTTGGGTATGTTGACTAGCATGCTTTGTATTATAAACACATTTAAAGGAGTCAAAATTATAATTGCATCAACATTTAGCATTTTCAGCAGTATAAATTAAAGGGGCCACTTAGGGCAATCTCTAGATGTCAGCCCCAGCCTCCAAAACTTTAATAAAAATGTTCATACTACTCTATCATAAAATGTCCAGATCCATGTATTTAAAATTGACTAGGTGGCAAGCTGGCTCCCCAATCCAAGCAGGGGTAAGTTCAAATTTTGTACTGTATTAGTTAAGTTCTAATTGATGTGGTCCAATGTCCAAATTTAGATTTAGGATCTAGGGAGGATCTTGGATCATAAGACCCTAACCTCTAAGAATATAATACTAAATTTCTAATAAAATACTTAACTTTACCTAAATCTTCTTTGAATATAAAATATAAAGCCCAAACTTAGATTAAGTTGGGACACTTCTAGAAGGTTTCGGAATCTCAAAGTCTCCCCTACTCTTCTTCTCTTGAATCTGTTAATAAGCGTTCAATTTTGATACATTACCTTTTGAAATTCCAAAATTCACCTCCTTTTGTATCACTCCTAGAAAATCTTCTAATAAAATTTCACAACTATTTTAATTAATCGAGAGTATTCGTAGGAAATTTTGACTTCTTACGATGTAATTAACTACAAGGACTTGCGCTCATAGGAGATTTAGAACCACATACACTGGATTTTTAAAATAACTTGATATTTCTTTTGGAAAATCCACTTTACGACAATCGCTGTGATAATGCCTGAATATTTACCAAATAGTGATATATTCTTCCTAAGGGAAGATATATCATTTGTTCATAAGATTTTGGGCATGAGATCAACAATAATCTACTTAGAATATCATAGTTAGAAATTAGATCGAACTCTATTTTGTCCCTTCGAGGTCATATGCAGTTTTATCTCGAATTTGATTATGATATCTAAGGTAGGATTTATAATTTTGGGATTTGAAGCCCATTCTAAAATCTTATTTCCACTTCCCGAATTGGTATGACTTTTGGAATGAGATTTTCGACCTTAAAATTTGAATCTAAAAGTCAATTCTAAATTTCTAAAGAAAACTGATATTTTTCAAAACTTGCTATCAAAATTCCACCAACATATGGTCAATCATAGATTCGATCTAGTTCATCCATTAAGCCAAGGGTTATGATCGAAGCAGTGTTGAGCAAATCATACAATACAAAGGTGGTTCGTATAGTATGATAGTAAATGAAATTTTTTTTTTCTTTGCAAGAAAATATAATGCGGTTCAGTAAAGTGGTTTATGTGATAATCAGGACACAATCATAAAGAATGATAATAATAAGACAAAAGGAATACAAATAAGAACAAAAATAAAATTATGAACAAAAACAAATTAAGGACAAAAGAAAACTTAAATAAAGTCATAAATAAACAAAAAATACAAGACAAAACACATATGTTGAGAATATTATGAATGGCTAATTTCAAATGATAGGAAATAAATATCGATCCCAAAAACCACATGCTCCCATTAGGACTTTTGTGAGAGCGCTCAAATCCAAAGATAATGGAGGAATAGTTTTGGGAGCCCAAGTGAGTTTGGGTCCCATCTTGAATTTGGATAAATCATCAGAATGCCTTCCATATTATGGTTGATGCAACTTAGGCCTCTACACTAAATGTGTTCAACGGTGGATTGTGCAAGTGCGGTTAATGTATCTTAACATGCCACAGGAAAAACATCTAATATTAGGAAAGGGTTATATATATATATATATATATATGATTCCTATTCCAAGGATTATGAGATGTATGACATGATGAGTGCTTAAGAGCAGGTTTATTTTGAAAATCCTTTACTTTTTATAACAAATTTTATTTTCACTTTCAAGAACATATATTTCAATTTTTAAAGAGTGCTCACTAAGATTTAAAATTTTAACACATACTTCTCTCTTTAAATAATTTTTTTAAATCAAGATGCAATGCTTTCAAAGAATCATGTGTTTCAAATAAAGCAGTATATTTCTCATTCAATTCATCAAACCCATCTAGTAAAGTCAAATGATCCTTATTTAAATTAGAACCATCTTTCTAAGCATTTCATTTTCTTTCTATAAAACTGAGCATTCAATTTTCAAGCTAGCGTGCTTCTTTTCAGCTTCCTGTAAGAATCATGAATCTTTTTTGAAACATCAAGTAATTGATTATATGAAAGTTGATATATCTGATCTTAATTAGACTAATTAAGATAGTTGTCTTTCATTAAGTACAGATTTCACCTCTTTTTTTGCTTCTATTCCAGATGAATATGAAGTGGAGTTGGCTAAAAAGGCTTTCTGAGATCTTCACTTGCTTTCATAGAATTATACTTTCTCTTCAACATTCTCCTTGATTTTGCTTTCTTTAAGATTTTGGCAATTAGTTTTAATATTCCTTGGTTTCCTACATTCATAACAGACAATATCATTAGAAGCTTTAGAATTTCTATAAGTCTTAGCTTTGCTCAATTACTGATGATTCTTTTGCTTTTTCCTTAGAAATCTCCTAAACTATTGAGTCATCAATGTGATTACTTCCTCTCCTCCATTAGAGGAATTATTTAAATCATTAACATTTAAGGCTATCATTTTCTCCTTCTTTCTTTCTCCTTGATTAGATTTCCTTAGGCTAATGCTTTGCTCATAGGTGATTAAATATACAAGTAAGTTACCAATAGAATAAATATTAAAATCCTTGGATTCTGAACTAGAAGTTATTTTAGTATCATATGAAGAAGTTAAACATCACATAATCTTTTTTACTTTTTCAGAACTTAATAATTCTTTGCCTAATGCATGCAGGGATGTGATGATGTATTTAAACCTAGTATACATTTCAGATATGGATTCACAAAGTTTCATGCAAAAGAGTTCATAATTATGGAGCAAAAAATTTAACCTAAATTATTTAACTTCACTTATTCCTTTGTAAGTAATGAATAATATGTACTAAATTTCTTTTCCAATTGAGCAATTAGATACGCGCAAGTAATCTTAATATTTTAAAGCACAAAAAAAATAGTTTAGGCATTTCGCATTCAGTTGGGCTAAATCTCTATCATCAATACTCCATTCATAGAAAAAGTATTTCAATTTTAATGTCATTTACTAAATGTGAAGGTGCATAATATCTTTCATGAACTAACATCCACATGCGATAATTTATTAATTGCAAGAAAGTAGACATGCAAAATTTTTAAAAAAATAAAAGGAATATTATCAAATAAAGGTGGTGTGATTAAATATCATTCAATAGTATTTTGATTTCAAAAGTTAGCAATTGATCTTTTTTCAAAAGTTTACTAAAACTTAATTTATGAAACATATTATGATACAACTTAAAAGTTTGTGAAAGTTATTAGACCTTTAAAAACTAGTCCGAGGCTAATCAAGAGTGGGGTGAATTTGATCTTTTAAAAATTC